TACAACGTCTTCGACTACGACATCCACTACACCATCGACGACAACATCAACAACACCGTCCACGACGTCTACAACTACATCGACAACACCATCAACCACGTCTACAACTACCTCGACGACACCATCTACAACGTCTACAACTACATCGACAACACCATCAACCACGTCTACAACTACCTCGACGACACCATCTACAACGTCTACCACTACGTCGACGACACCATCGACGACGACTTCTACCACATCTTCAACTACCACATCCACTACACCATCCACGACAACCTCAACAACACCATCCACGACGTCTACAACTACATCGACAACACCATCGACAACGACATCCACAACGTCTTCGACAACCACTTCCACTACACCATCGACGACAACCTCAACAACACCATCCACAACGTCCACCACTACTTCGACTACACCGTCAACGACAACTTCTACCACATCTTCAACTACCACATCCACTACACCATCCACGACCACATCTACAACACCATCCACGACAACCTCAACAACATCATCCACGACGTCTACAACTACATCGACAACACCATCGACAACGACATCCACAACGTCTTCGACAACCACATCCACTACACCATCGACGACAACCTCAACCACACCATCCACGACGTCTACAACTACATCAACAACACCATCCACGACGACATCTACCACATCTTCGACTACTACATCCACTACACCATCCACGACCACATCTACAACACCATCGACGACAACGTCAACAACACCATCCACAACGTCCACCACTACTTCGACTACACCGTCAACAACAACTTCTACCACATCTTCAACTACCACATCCACTACACCATCCACAACATCGACTACCACGTCGACAACACCATCGACGACAACATCTACCACATCTTCGACTACTACATCCACTACACCATCCACCACCACGTCTACCACACCATCTACCACGTCAACAACTACATCTACAACACCATCGACTACCACATCTACAACACCATCGACTACCACATCTACTACATCATCGACTACCACGTCTACAACACCATCTACAACATCTTCGACGACTATATCCGACATATTCACAACTTCCACAACATCCACAACAACGTCAACAACACCGTCCACAACAACCACAACTACCCCATCGACTACTTCTACAACTACAGCTCTGGACATTCAATCTTCGACGACATCTTCTCGTAAGTGTCATGCTCTTGTTCCAATTTTATCCAGTAATGTTTTACAGGTACTGATTGCTGTCCTAATGGAGGCTTGTGGTCGGAATGGGAAACAACTGAACAGTGCACGGATACTTGTGGTTCATGTGCTCAACTTTACTATACAAGAGTGTGCTTGTCCGATCAAACTACATGTCCCTGCACGTGAGAAAAGTTGCAGTACTAGCCTATCTTATATATTTGCAGCGGGGTATCTGGCAAATGGAAAAACTGTAATATAGGAGCCTGCTATTATCCAAGATTGTCATGTTGCAATGGCTATACTCTAATGGTTATCGATGGTAAACATGCTTGTGGGCCACAGGTTTTGTTTGTACTGTAGTTAGAAATAAGAATTACCATACTTACAGCCTGTAGAAGACGAGGGTAACGATATGGAAGACTGTTGTCCAATCAATGGATATTGGGCGGAGTGGGAGGAATGGAGTGCTTGCGTTGGTGGTGATTGTGGTCAGGTAGGACCCCAGATTGTAGTTCTTTCAAAATCTTAATTTAAGTGTGGTACTGCAACGCGCACAAGAACATGCTTGTCTGAATCATATGATTGTTCCTGCCAAGGATCTGCCACTGAAGAAAGGACTTGTCTGACCTTAGCCAGTTGGACAGAGTGGGCTGTAAGCCTTGAAGTCAATTATTTTCTTTAATCGAACAAATCAATTAAGATTGCTGATGCTTGCCCGTCTAACTCTTGTGGATCCTGTAATATGAAAAGGTTAACCAGGACTTGTAACAAAGAAAATGGTTGCGCTTGCATGTATGTTTTTCCAATACAAGAAGCATTTGTTATTATGCTACTTCAGAGGATCAGATGAAAGATATGAAATTTGTAATCCTGCTCCGTGCAGTGGTAACATGACACACAATGCAACTTTCGCTTGCTGTACCGGATTCAGTAAAATGGATATCAATGGTGATGGCTTACAAGGCTGTGGACCTTTAGTAAGAGTGTTTGGATTGATGTTTTTAAAAATTGTTCTGTACAGGTCGCACCTCAATCCCCTCCAGAGCTGGCAACATGTGGTGAGGATGTTCCCGAATGTTGCGTTATTGGAGGAGTTTGGACCGAATGGTCATCCGGAGAAAGCTGCTCTGATACATGCGGATACTGCGGAAACACGACAAGAACACGTTATTGCGTTTCTGAAGAGTGGGATTGCCCGTGCAGGTATTATATTCACTTTCATACAGATCATACTGTTTTTGCTTCAGCGGTCCGTCAACTAAACAATCTGAATGTGCTCCGTCCCCCTGCCTGTTCCCCCGCACGACATGCTGTGGTATACGCAAGAAAGTTATAGTGGATGGACACTTCGAATGTTCCAAAGCTGTGAGTCAACAGTATCTTCTACCTTCAAAGATTTAATAGAAACAAACACAACTCTTAGAAATATATGTTCGAAATTATCATTTCAGCAAGACTCTGATCCACCGGCTTCTGATTTGTGCTGGACTGATTGTTGCCCAGCATCAGGAGGGTACTGGTCTGAATGGTCCAGTGGCGGTGCTTGTCCGGATACATGTGGATCTTGCGCAAAGGTTACTCAAATGCGAACATGTTTGACAGAACAATACGGATGTAATTGCTTGTAAGAACATATCCTTCTCAATAGACAAAACCCTATTCAATTTACAGAGGTCCAGCTAGTCGTGATGTGAACTGTAATATTGGAGTTTGCTTCTATCCACGAGATTCATGTTGCGCTCCTTACTCCAGTGCAGTTATAGATGGCAAACATGCTTGTGGACCACAGGTTTGATAATCTCAACTTGCTGTTACGTACTAATGAATTCCAGCCAAATTACACAACTGTGTATTCCAAATATGATCCTTATTGTAATGAAACATGCTGTCCATTGAATGGTCTATGGGCTGAATGGACAATAACACCTAACCAGTGCTCTGACTATTGTGGAGCTTGTGGAAACATGACTAAAACTCGTGTTTGTTTATCCGAAGCAGAAGGTTGCCCTTGCAAGTAGGAATCATTCGATGTTCAAGTTTCAAAGCATAGTCGTTTAGCGGAGATGCTGAAGAAACTTCGCAATGTAACACCGGTGTCTGCTACTACCCGAGATTGTCATGCTGTCCAGGATTTACTGCATCTGTCATTGAGGGAAAACATTCATGCGCTCCAATCGTAAGCCTACGCTCAAAATACTTATTACACACAATTGTTTAGACGGATATACCGGAAGAGTTGCCTTACATTAACACCTGTGGCGTTAACTGTTGCCCAACAGATGGTTTTCAAAATTTATTATTAGCATGAATTCATTTTCTCATTTCAGGAATCTGGGGAGAATGGGTTGTTGATACGCCCTGCAACGACACCTGCGGTTCTTGTGGCAGGGAAATTCGAACAAGGAAGTGTTTGTCATTACAATATGGTTGTGAATGCACGTATGTTAACTTCTGAACTCAAAGGATGATTTTCGAATTTTTTCCAGCGGAGACGATACAAAGAGTGTGATTTGTGGAATCGATGTTTGTCTGTTCCCGCGAACATCATGCTGCCCCGGATTTTCAAAGGCATTCATGAAGGATTCATCGCTCACTAACTCTATCTCATTTTCAGAAAATTAATGCTACAACCAGAACATTCTTCTGTGGTCCTTTACCTACTGAACCAGCATTCACCCCTGAGCAGACAACTTGTTGTGATCCAGGTAATTCACAACATCTCTGAAAACCGGACAACATGAACCATTTGAAGAAGGAAAAGGATTATGGAACGAATGGAAGAAATGGTCAACCTGTACTGCTACTTGTGGTTTATGTGGTACACGATCACGAAACCGAACATGTGCTTCAGCGGATTATGGTTGTCCTTGCGAGTAAGTTCAAAAAATGAAAACGAGAACTAATGATTCAATTGAAGTGGTCTCGCATTAGAAACGGAACCTTGTGGAGACCCAACCTGTCCAACCGGAAACAAATGCTGTCCAGGTTTCTATCTTGATGTAGGATATGACGGCGCTCAGTTCTGCCAAAAGAATCCAGTAAGAAACAACAAAAATTGTTGAAACTTATATTATCAATTCAGCCATCTACATGCCCTGGAACATGGACTGCTTGGAAGACTGATACTGGCGTAGTATGCAATGATACATGCGGTAACTGTGGAATTATCAAGAGTTATCGTTATTGCTGGCCATCAGGATGTAAATGCACGTGAGTATCATGAGAAACAATGAACAATTAAGTATTTTGAATGTTTTCAGAGGTGATTTCACTAAGCTCGATCCATGTGCCAATGCGGTTTGTCTGTTCCCACGTGAAGCATGTTGCGCACCATATAAGAAAAAGATTGTTAACAAACAAATAGTTTGTGCTTAGGAAGATTTGAAGAAGACACAAGTAATTAATAAAAACTACGAGTATTATATTCTTTTCAAAAATTCTGAATCAAAAACCCAAATTTAATAATAATAATAATAATTTAGTTCATTAGAAGAATAAACTATTTCAACAAAAAGAAACTGTTCATAAGAGAATGTAGAAGAACAGAATGTGTTTCGTGTGTTTAACTGAGAGCGAAAGCAAATATCCTTGTCACGTACGTGATATGTTCAGACATCTTTATTTTAACAAAAAAAAAATGAACAAATGGAGTTCGACGGGGGTGTAGTAGAGATAATTGAAAAGAAAAATCACAACCGCTCTATGCTCAGACAACAATCAAAATGGACATCAGCAGTTACATGGTCTTTACAACAATGAAACTGCGCACATGTTGCAAAATTCAAAAATATATTCAAATGAAGGATGTGGATGAATATTCGCGCATTCAAGATCAGCATATGTGTTACACAAGAGTTGCCTTGTTGGTGTAGATGATTCAACAGCTTGTCCAATTAGAGAAGTGCTTAACGGTAAGTTGAATGCAAAGTGCGAAACTGCTTGTTAAAAAATGTTTTAAGAAGTCTGTAAATGCTGAATAAACAAACAAAAACCTTTTTGAGGAAAGATACGAAAACTATTCGTAAAGACCAGCCCAAAAAATGCTTTTGCATTCGTAGACAGTTCATATTCGCATCAGTCAGTGTGTCAGTTCGTGTATGTGTGTAAGTGTGCAGTTCATCTGATCTCATACCTAAGATGTATTGTCGTATCATTTTCATTCTTTGTGTTCTCGTTTATCATATAGGTGAGTAATTATTACACATTTTCTAATTATAATCGTGTTTCTTCATTTTTCGTGAAAGTCTAAATCCAAAAATGGATATTATCAATTCAAATATCATTGAACTATGATTGATAAATCAAAATTCCTATATATCTTTGATAGATTAAGCGGAAATGATAATGATTAACTTCTAGATGCTGCCTGCTATCCTACAGGATCACGATGTGTACCTGAACGACCATTTCAGACAGCCATTGCATGGAATTCCTGTCAACACTATTGCAACAAGTGCAAAGGACTAACAGTTGGTGATTGTGAACGCGTCTTCACTCCCCTATGTGATGGAAAATATCAGTGCAAGTAAGATACTTCTCTTCATCTTATTTTCAACTTTTGGAATTGCAAGAACCATTCTCGTTTCTCTTTGAAATAAGGTTTTGGACGAAAAATGAAATAATCCTGATAGAATGAGAAAGAGAAGAGATGGGCTTTGATTAGAGAGAGGTGAATGAAAACAAATCAACATAGAAAAGAGAGTAGAAAACATGCTATAAATAAATATATTTTTTCGAACAAACAAATAATACAAAATGAAAGTTGAGAGTAAACAAAATCAAAAAGAATCCTCTGTGAGGAAAGAGGAAGACTCAAGAAATTGAGATAGAGAGTAAGGGTAAACGAGGGGGCTGCTGGAGTACGGTGCTATCTAAGATTGTCTCACTCAAAACCCTTTGGCAGTTGTTAAGAAACTCAAGGTAATTGTTTTAAACTAAATTTTCATTTTGAAAATAACTTCAATATGTTTTGGATGAGAAAGTTCGCAGAAAAAAGTATTTTCAGATGTGCCGGAGAGAAGATCCCGGCTAGTGCGAACATACTGGAGCGAGCAACATGTCAGCTGGGAATCTGATTATTGAATATCATGTTTATAAATGTATTTATATATATAAAGATAAAGATAATTGCATTCTGCTCATTGTTCTTCTCCTCTCTCCCTTCCTCTCTTCATCTCCTTCTATCTATATTCAGCTGAAAGGAAATGAATGAGAAAATATTTGAAAGTTAAGAAGCTTTAGCATAGACAGCGTTCCCCATTCCTAATTCCATCATTAAAGTTCATAAGAAGTTGAATAACAAAAGTATTTGTTTGATTGCCAAAAATTAATTTATAATGTTCATGACAGATGCTTTTTCTTATCATTTCTATACTTTCTCTCCTCTCTCTCTCTATACTCAACACGTTCTTTATAAATTTCTTGTACGCTTCCATATAGTCCCTCATTTCTATGGCTTGATTTTCAAAAGACTGAATCTGACTAAGAGGCTGAGAGGGAAACGAGAGCATTACAAGAGATGACGTAATGAGAGGAAAGATCGAGAAACGAGGCAGCAGATGAAGCATTAAACGAATTTTAGAGAGTTCTGAACATATCGATACACACGATGAGAGAGTATGTACAGATGCGATGCGCCTTCCTCAAATAGACGATGCAGGACTTTCCCCAATATTTAGACTCTTTGGTCCTCTCTCTCTTGTCATACTATATCACTTTGTCTAGCTCTCTGCCCTCCCTCATTGCCTCTCTTCGCTCATACGATGTCTACTTAAAGCCTCAGAAACCATTTTACTAAGTCTTATCATTTATTTTTTCTAATCAACAACAACTCCGTTTTTCTTTCGATTATTCTATTTTTCATCCCAGAACTACAAACTTCAAGACTTTTGATTTCAAAGCCAAACAGTAAGAAACAGTGTGCAAGAATGAGAGGTTTAGAAAATGTAGTATAGAGCGGCCTAACCATTGAGACTTGGAATATTCTAGAATCCGTCGAAGATCATACATGGGCCGAAGGTTTGTATCGGCTGCAACGGCAGTTCTGTCTTCTTCGATCTCCCTTTCTTCAACTCTATTCAATGTTTTCTTCATTTCAATCAAACTTTTTTTCTTTTTCAAACTTTTTTTTTTCATTTTTCAAGATAGTTTTGCAGAAATTGTTGTGGAGTGAGATGTTCTGTAGGGAATGTGGGGGGGGGGGATGAGTAGGATGGGGGATGGGTAGCGATCGGTCAGTAAGCGCTTATAGAAGGCGATTCTCTCAATTCTCTATCGTTCTCCTTGTATATATATATAATTGATTATTATAGTTAATTACATGATAATAACATGTATTTCCTTCTAATAACCGAAACTTGTGCTGTTATCGTCAGTCTCAGCTTGTCCCTTATTCTGATTTTCGTTTTGTGTATATGTGGGTGTGCCGAATTCATTTTACCTCGCCATAATCTATTTCTCATTAATTTCGTTTTTATCAACATGATCGCTCATTCTTCGCTGATCACATCCCGCCTCTTGAAATCTTTAAAAGTCATATGACATCCGGCCTTTCTCTCTCTTTTTTTTCCATTTATTTCTCTATGCCCCCTGCATTTAGTATTGTCTCTCATGTGATTTTAGCTTGCTTTCCTCTCTCAGCCTCCCTCTTCCCTCTCATTTGCCTTTCGGTGTCGACAACGATGCTCTTTGCAATCTTTTTCTATTTTATCTTTTTTGCTTTTTAAAATTCACAAATACATTTTGTCTATTCTCTCCGATTACACTCTCTCTAATCGTTTTCTAATCTCTTTGTCATTTCTCTCATCCATTCCACCCATTTTTCTTTTCACATTTCATCTGTTTTTGCAGTCAGATTTATTCTTTATTCTTCCCCAGCTGTGAACGGTTCGTCTATGCCGTGGTGATCTTTAGAGATCATTCTTATCCCCTCTCTCCCAAGCTTTTCTATCATCTCAGCGCTTATTCTGCATGCATTTTCTTCAATGTCACGTCAGTTCGGTCATTTATATGGTCATACAGACGATTATCAAACGTTGTCCACTCGGAAATGAGCGAATTTCTCCAAAATTGGATGAAGACAACGCATTTGCCTTCCGTTTATCTTATCTCTCTCGAAATTCTTGTCCTTATTTCATTAAATATTCGAAATCTGCAAATACACACAGATGACTAACCCATGGACCATTTGGCAATTCAGAGAGAAAGGAGATTGCCTTAACCAACTCTCTCTTCACCTACTTCGTTGATCATCAGCTTCGTCAAGCTGTCATAATCAAAACTCTTCCGGTCTTTTTATCTTTACGCCACTTCCGGTCGCCAGTTCGCCATCTGCTTTTCTGACTCCGCCCAATTCTTGTTGCCCATATATAGAAACTGTCATGTAGAATATGTTGACTCCTGTTGTACGTAAAGTACCGTAACCCAGACAGTTCCATTTTTCAATGAACTGGTTTGATTACTATTCTCGTGAAACAGGGACCAATACCCTCCCAGACAGGGTCAAGTTGGTCTTCCCGACGGTCTTCCTGATTCGTCTTCTTTTCTTACAGCTTAAACAGCTCCAGTTCACAATTTGTATTCTCAGCCATCTTACACAGAGTTCTTGTCTTACTCTCATCACTTCTCTCACTCTACTATTTTCCATTCCATTTCTATCCCTGCTACTCTCTTACTCTCATACATTCCTTCATCTCCATTTAAGGCATAGTAATTCATATTTTTTTGTACATTTCTTCCTCCATTCAAATTCATGTTTTGGTTTTCGTCTCTCATTCTTAATCATATTCAAATGAGAATTGTCCCTTTAACCATAATTCTTTCAGTTTCACAAAATTCCAACAAATCGCTACAATGGTTGTCATTCTTACACCTACTCACCCATCTGCTCCAAAATCTGCTGAACTCCGCACAGAATCTGGACGTGTCATTCGCTATATTGCTCCATCAGGCTTGAACCTGCCATCTACTACCTTTGAGAACAACGTAAGCGTTCACAAACTCTTTTTCTGAACTTTTTCTTCAATGTTACATCAGAAGAATGTTACTGATAATATTTCTTTGCAGGATTACTGTTATGCTTCTACTGCCGGTAAACGTCGTACTCAACTCGATGGTATGATTTTTCTTATCTCTTGATTCTTATTAACAAACATGTTGCCTGAGTTGATTCCCGAATGTTCTATGAAAACTCAGCGTTATACCGTATGCCTTCTTTTCTCTTTCAAGTCATCTCTCGCTTTCTCTCTCTCTCTGAGATCTTTCATATCTCTTGAATACTCTCCCTCTATACAACTCCATTCTTCTCAAGATCTTTTGCAGTATCACATCATTACTTATCCAGGATAGATATAGTTGAAGATAATTTAGTATTTCCT